AATCCTAGTGACTACTGACAGAACTCAGATGGGATCTCTTGAGACAGGGGGCTATCACTAATACCGCCAATGTTCATCTCTTAAAAATAGGCCTAGAGAGATGCTGTGAAAATGATGTATAAGAAGTATAAATGGCTCTAGTCTTGTCTGCTGTCTCTATTTCCAGGGCAAATTTTTTTTTTCCAGGAAAATGTGACCTAGCTTTCTGCCTATGACACAGTGGCCGGTACTATGACCTCTTTTCTTTTCTTTTCTTTTCTTTTCTTTTCTTTTCTTTTCTTTTCTTTTCTTTTCTTTTCTTTTCTTTTCTTTTCTTTCCTTCTTTTTTTAAGATTTTTATTTATTTATTTGAGAGGTAGAGTTACAGACAATGAGAGGGAGAGACAGAGAGAAAGGTCTTCCATCAGCTAGAACCGGTGCACAGGGTGAGGATTAACCTACCCTGCCATAGCGCCAGCCCACAATGACCTCTTTCAACATTGTTCTTTGCGTGTGACAGAGGACAGTCTTCTTTGGCATCCCCTCCCAGACATTGCCCAGGGAAGAATGTTGCCTGGAAGTAGGTCTGGACTTCGCATCTCATAACCTTTTGCACTAACACCGTTTCTGTAAGGTGAAGTCTTCTCCCAGCTGGTTCTCAAGGGTCAGGCTTCATGGTTTGACACGTGGTGTAGAGAATACTGCTTTCTCCCTCCAGCATCTTGACTTGCTCTTCTATGAAGCCCATGTGCCCAGTCACTGCTAAGTTGATTTGTGGCTGGGATCTTACCTGTGTTACTCTGATACAGTGTCTAGGTGAAGAAGAGCCCTTCTACTCTGCCAGGAAAGTCTCCTTGACTCTGAATTTTAAAGAGACACGTGGGGAGCTTGATTTCTTACCTGCTCTAGGGCTACAAGGCCAATTATGCAGTTCTCAATTAATCCTCAACAATATTCATGCACAGCACATGAAGAATTCGCCATTAAAAAATCAAGGTTTAGTCTCAAAGGTCTTCCTGCCACAAAAAATAGTGGGAAATTGGCACAGGAAAGAGCCAGCTCCTACTCTGTGACAATAACATCTGTCACTTAGACTAACTTCCTGAGAATAATGAACGTGATGAAAGGGTTGGGCCAATGAAGGAAGGCTAACTTGGTCTCTACCCTAGCCAGGTTACTCTGGGGCAGGGCCTCAGTATCATTATGTGAGTGGACAGATTCAGTTACACTCAATCACATAGAAAGGTTAGGCATTTGTTTCACAAGTTACTCAGTTGTCTGTGAAGTTCCGGAATTCATTATATCTGATATAGCATGGCAGGTAAATTGATAGAAAATTAATTGGAAAACAGTTCCAAGCATAATAGCTGAGCAGAAACATCCAGAATCAATTAATCAAACTGCAGCTCATTTTAATTGGAAGTACTCTAACCCTGAAAAGGCTTTGGAATCTATAATTAAGTTTTCAAGCCCAATCTTATTTACATTAGCCATGTTTTTTTCAAAATAGTTACACCTGAAAATAAACAGTTATTAGCTCAAAACCTAATGGTCAAGTTAAAGCCCTTTACATATGCATGACACAACTGTTTAATTAGACATGATTTCTGATCTTTTAAAAGTGCAATTTAAAAAACTATTTGATCTGGTAAACATTAGCTCTTTGAAAGTACAGGATTAAGAAATCCTGTTTACAAATCAAGGTATTGATTTTCTTCTCATTATTTAAGCCAATAGGAGGGGTCTTCAAAAGTTTCATGAAAAATTGCATGTGAATTTTATATTTTTGCACATACATAACTTATTTTGATTCTATTTCCACGAACTTTTTGAAGTCCCTCATATTTTGCACATTCGTATGTATTTTTTTATGTTAATAATCCCACTCTCTGACCTTTCTCGCCACCTTGTCTCCACTTTTACCATTAAAACTGGGCGATCATCACCAGTTTTCCTGTCTAAACATATTCCTGGACTGTAAGCTCTTTGAGAGCACATCAATTGCAAATAAATTTGTACCTCCGGTGTTAGACACAGTGCCCACAAAGAGCTGCTAAATAAAGCTCGGAGAAGTGAAGTGTTGTTCAAACAAAAGATAACGTGAGGTGGAGGAGAAATGACATGATTGCTCCTTTTGGACCATATTTTGGTGTGGAGAGGTGAGGGACTTTCCGTGATCGAGAGGTTCCATGTGGCTTCTAATGAGTCTGTTTCTAACCAACCTGTGAGCCAGTCCCTGACCTCTTTACCTCCAGCTCATCATCATCCAAAACAAAACAAAACAAAACAAAACAAAACAAAACAAAAAAAAAAAAAAGAGAGAGAGAGAGAGAGAGAGAGAGAAATTAGAATAGGTGCAAATGGATTGTATCCAGCTGTTGGACCTCAAATGATTTGGTTATTATGAGGTTATTTTGGTTATTATAATGTTGCTGACAGGCTGATATTAGAATATGATTGTTTCATAGCATAAAAGCATAGCAAAGTGATTTAGTGCTATTGCATACTATAGAACATGTCCCATGATGTAACATATTCTAATATGAAGTAAGTGAAATACACCAGGAATAATCCTCCAATCTTGACTTCACAGCACCTGTCCCCTTCCTTCAAAAGGCCCCCGGGCCAGCGCTAACACTGAAACTATAGACAGCCTTACCAAGGAAAGGGAACTCCAGCAAAGGCGGCCGAAAGAATCTTAGCTGGAGACTTGAAGCTGTTAGGTGCTCTTTAAGTTGAATTAGCCGTGGGAGAATAGGGAGGTGTGAAGCTAAGGAGAGCGGCAGCTCTGATGTGGAAAGCAAAGGAGAGGAGTTGGGAGGACAAGGGCAGAACTGAGGATTTGACAATGATAGGAGCTTGAGTAAATGGAGGAAGAATTAAACGAGATTGTTGGCTCTTCTGAAACTTTGGGAGGGAAATCAACTCCTTCCCTGCTGTGCCCATGGGAACTGCAATTGAACTGTCTGTCTCACCACCACATTATCCCTGGATTTAGGAACATGAGATATGACCTGCACCCTCGAGACCTTTGTATCCTCCCATGAAGAGGCAGAAATTGAGTGAACTGAAGAAACTTGAGTATACAAATCGAAATACAGCAATTTGGATAGAAACCGTTATGTCTATGAATGTGACTTCTAAGTAGTATGAGTGCCCATGAGTCCGAAATTTTTGAATTCTTTTGGATCCCACTTCAATATATTTCAGGACCTAGAAATATATAGTCAATATATTACGCACACATGTTCATTCAGTATGACCCTCAGTATCAGGAACCCAGATATCTCTGGGGGTCAGAAGGTGCCCCCTCATCAACCCTTGAAGCCCTAAGCTTCCATCATATGAAATATACAGTGCAAACTCCAGCAAGAAAGCTAACTCCTCTGCTGTCATGAGGTTTAGTGCATGGATGGATGGATGATTCCTGTGCAGCTCTATTGTGTGAGGTACCGTATGTGTGCTAGAGGTACAGAATTGACTGATGGAGAATGTGTGTTCCAGCAGATGGACACTGGGAGATAGTGAAACATAGATCTTGATATTTGATGACAAGACCCTATTGATTTGGGGATTTTTGGGGAAATTTTTTGGCTCTGAAATTAAAAAAAAAAAAACTGTTTAAACTCTGAGGATAAGGAAATCCCAAGTAATTAAGGCTAGATGTGGAGCCAGAGAAATGAATTGGGAGAGGAGGATGAGAACATGTTTTGAGAAAATAGAATAGATACAGAGGAAGTGGAGATGGCATTATCTGTTCAAGAAGTTTTTTTTATTAGATGCTCTGCAGCCATCTCACCGCTTCTCAGTAGAATCATCCCTTTAATTTGGGTAGGGCAGTGTTTTCCTGCTTGGAGTTGTAAACATTTTTCCTGGTATTCCTGAACACCAGCTGGTGTTTTTGTCCACCTACCTAGGGCTTATAATCCCTCATGATAGTCAAGTGATCATTTGATAGACTCACCTGCTGGGCTCATTGACCTTTTATTTTCACAGCCCCTTTGTGGACCACAGGATAGGTATTGTCTGGAGTGAGCCCCCAAGGCTGCATTTCTAGGAAGCTCCTCATGTGATAGGGGTGTGACCTCAACTCTGAGGACCTCTGCTTTGGGATAGTGAAGTCTGATTCCACCCAAACATTGTGAAGCTCATCAAGGGTGCCTTGATGAGCATGAGCACATCAGTTATAAATTCAGTAAAAGTCAATCACATTCTCAATTATGTGGAGACTCTTCCCCTAGCATAAAACAAAGATCACTGGACCAGTCTTTAGAGAAAAAAAAAATCACTGGGAAATATGCCAGGATCAAAGCCAACAGTCTGGTGTGCAGTTACCATTTTTGATGAATGGACAACAACCAAAACACCGGATCAGTGAATGATCAAGTTAGAAAAACTATTGATTATTGTTTACAGTCTTTGCCTATACTGTTGTTAATCTTATGACTATAAAATAAACTGAAAGTATGTCATTGTAAAAATTGAACGAAAGAATAAAAAGGGAGGAGGAGGGAGGATGGTAGCAGGGTCAGGAGGGGGCAAAGGGTAGGAGAGATCACTATGCTTCTAAATCTGTGTATATGAAATACATGAAATCTGTTCACTTTACAGAAATAAATTGTTTAAAAGGGGATTCCTTCATAGATCTTACAAAGTTAAAACTATTGGACAGAGGAGCAGGTTTCAATATTTCATCGATGTATACTTAAGATTGCGAGAAAATTTATTTTTCTACGTAACAATTGCAGTACATTGCACTGGTACTTTGAATGAAAGCAACGTTTGACCTTTATTTTGATCTTTGAAATGCACTGAAAATATTGAATCAATGTTGTATCCTTTGGAAGTCTAAACTTGGTCATGAATTGTGTTTCCAGCATTTTAATTGTTCATCCAATGTCTGCAGCTCTCTGTAAGGCCACGTTTTTGCTCTTCTCTCTACGACTTCAGTTTTCTTTGGTCTTCAAAGCCTGAATAAAACACCCAGGAACATGTTTCCATTTGCAGTGTTTCCCTTCTAGGTGGGACCGCCACGCGGCAGAGAGGATTCCTGGGCTGCATCCGGTCCCTGCAGTTGAACGGGATGGCGCTGGACCTGGAAGAACGCGCCATGGTGACTCCTGGCGTGCAGCCGGGCTGCCGAGGGCACTGCGGCAGCTACGGGAAGCTGTGCCGCAACGGTGGGAAGTGCAGGGAGAAACCCAGTGGGTTCTTCTGTGACTGCACTGTCTCTGCCTACACAGGGCCCTTCTGCTCCAATGGTAAGTGCGTGCGCCGCAGAGTCTGGACCAGGAGAAAGTCCTCCGCATGTAGAAAGTGTGCAACAGGGCTTATCCCGGTAGCTGTTTGAAACAAAAATTATTTCCCTGGATTTCTTTGCAAGCTCTAGGGATTGACAAATACATTTCACTCTTTACGTATTTGACTCAATTCTTGAAACACGAGTGTCTATTGATGCTAAATTCACTAATAGTTGCCTCTAGGTAACTTCAAGTGTTAGTTGCACCATCTGCTCCCTTTCTGTCTAATGTTGATACGCATACATAACATGGCTGTCACCAGCATGCCCCATGGGACAATTCTCTATTCTAAAACCATTAAAGGCATTATTATTTTTGATGAAGATGCTCAGCAATTCAAAGGAATTTGGAAAACTTGTTTTGATTTTAACTTTTTGGTCAAATATTGGATACAAATATAAATAACTTTCTATTAAATATTGATGCATAGTGACATAGAGATACTCGGCTGTTTTTCTGTCTGATGTGTTGAGTGTCTGGAAGTGAAAGAAAATAGGGACATGTTTTTCATCTCTGCTGATCTACGTCACGGGAGAAGAAAGAAGTTGGAAATAATGTGTTCTAGACAGATTTTTTGAGTATAGAAACATTTATTTTATGTTCATCATTTATCATAGATAATTGACACCCAACTTAAATTCAATTATTTTATTAAAGTGTCTCTGGGCCACTGAACCTTTTTCTGAACAAGGCAAACAAAAATTGGCTGCAAATGGAAGCAAAGAAAACATTGGGATCAGTTAATGAAAAGTTGGCAAAAATATACCTTTCAAGTCATTCGCTTTTATCAGGCATAAGCTATAATTTAAAAATCAACTTGGGATAATAATCACACACTGCTGGCACCATTGGAGGAGGCTTCATGTTTAAAGCTGGAATTAAGACCACTTCTTCCTAAGAACACGCCTTCATTTTCTGGATATAAATACCTTCTAGTTCATCTTGCTAAGTGCAGTCGGGAATGTGGCTCTTCATGAGCAAGATATATTGGCTAGAAAGGTATATTACGGAAAATAAAAAGAATAAACCCAACCCAACCAAACCATTCAAAACCGTGAAGAGATCTAAACTGTTGCTGCGTGAGCCAGCAAGCATCCCTGACTTGTTCAGCAGCCAGCCCACTTTATAGCACAGGAGAGAAGCAAGGTCAGGACGTCTAAGCTATGTATTTCTCCCACCCTCTTCACTTTCATACATCTAGACTTGGTGGCTTTTTTAAATATAATTAAGTTTGTGTGTGTATGTGTGTGTGTGTGTGCACACATGCATGCATGCACACATGTGAATTTGGAATATTACTCTCATACAAGTAAAATCCTACACTTCTGTAAAAGGATTCAAAGAAGCCAGATAGTTCCTTTTGTTGATCTGTGTTAAGCAAATGCCGAAATCACTCCCTCCCATTAATGTGATATTTAACATTCTTTTTCGTAGGGGCATAGTAACTGTGAGAAAGTGTTTAGAAAAAAATTTTTTTTGTTATTAATCCTAAGAGAGAAAAGTCAAACTTGCTTCTTTTGTAATTATTGCAGTGAGACTAGAATATACTAACTGCAAAATAAATGATTGGAATTAAAATTTAAACAAGAAAGTAGATGGTCAAGGATGTAAATGACCAGAAGCCTGGCTTATGTTTGTGCTCTGGGAAGAGTCTTAAGCTTTTGATTGCAAAGTTAAACTAGTGAGTTAATTCTATGTCACCCAAACATAAAGTCATTTCATGGCCAGTATGAAAACCCTCTTAATTTACTGTGTTATTGGAGTCAAGTGTGAGGCCGCTTCTTCCATCTACGTGATTTGTTATTTTTAAGAAATTTAATTTCACTAGTATAGCTAAAACAAGATCCTTGTACTTAATATTTTAACATAAAATGTGAATGTCATTTCAGAGATTTCTGCATATTTTGGGGCTGGCTCATCCGTGATTTACAATTTTCAAGAAAATTATTCCTTAAGTAAAAACTCCAGCTCCCACGCTGCATCATTTCATGGTGATATGAAGCTGAGCAGAGAAACGATCAAGTTCAGCTTCCGAACAACACGCGCGCCAAGCCTGCTGCTGTACATGAGCTCCTTTTACAGAGAATACCTTTCAGTCATCATTGCCAAAAATGGTGAGTGCTTCTTGGATAAGAGAGAAAAAATTGAATTTGGACACTCAGACTATAATATGTGGATCATTTTTGTGTTTTTGCTTCTCAAACTATAAGCAGAAAAAACAGTGTATCTGTTTTTCTATTCATTATGCTTTTACAGTGCTGTCCCTAAAGCTTAGACTCAAAGGATTATTTCAAATAGGGATGATGCCTTTATCTTTCTCATTTTGATAATTTTATATGTGCTTTGTGAATTTTTAATTTATTCATATAAATATTTATTATACATTATTGTCAGAAGCCACTTACTATCCCCTGTGGATATCAGTACTAGTTTTGTGGTTTTTAAAAAATATGTCTGGTTGTACATAACAAATAGTTCCTTCAAATCAAAGTAAAGAAGTATGAAGAGTATGTTCACAAACCAACAAGTTTGTGAGAAAATGTCCACAAGATGACCAGTTGGTTCCTTTTTTTTTTTTTTTTTGACAGGCAGAGTGGACAGTGAGAGAGAGAGACAGAGAGAAAGGTCTTCCTTTGCCGTTGCTTCACCCTCCAATGGCTGCCGCGGCCAGCGCGCTGCGGCCGGCGCACCGAGCTGATCCGAAGGCAGGAGCCAGGAGCCAGGTGCTTCTCCTGGTCTCCCATGGGGTGCAGGGCCCAAGCACTTGGGCCATCCTCCACTGCACTCCCTGGCCACAGCAGAGAGCTGGCCTGGAAGAGGGGCAACCGGGACAGAATCCGGAGCCCCGACCGGGACTAGAACCCAGTGTGCTGGTGCCACAAGGCGGAGGATTAGCCTATTGGGCCACAGCGCTGGCTCAGTTGGTTCTAAATAGAGGCAATATAATAATCATGGGAAATATTGGTGTATCCACCCGAGAAAATGATAATGGATTAGGAAATGTGTATGCTATAGAAATCTTGTTGCATAAAACCCCTACCTGCTATTATTATCTTCCATATATTTGGATTAAAGATAAAGATTTTACAAATATATTCTCTAGGGGAGAAAACAAGCAAATATAGAGACCCATGAATATGTCTTTTCAGATATATCATATATGGGTTTAGGACACTGACCACCAAAATAAAAATAATACTGTTACGCAAGTATGCTTACTTTCACTGTACATTTTGGGCTCAAAAGTTATCTATAAATTAGGACGTTTTCTTTGTCAATTGGAGGAGGGATCCATGAAAAAAATTTCTTGACATTTCTTCAATCAATTCAGTGATTACAAAAAATATATAGGAATGAAACAGACATTTTGCAATATGATTGTTATTTTTGGTCCCTGTTTATACTCCTGGGGAACTGTGGTCTTCGTACATTTTACTTGTTGAATTTTATGGTTAGTGGTGATTAAAGAAAGAAAAGGAAGGAGGGGGATTGAGGGAGGGAGGACGAGGAGGGTAATTTGGTTATCTTCTTAGAACTGTACCTATGAAATACATGAGAATCTATCCTCTTTATATTAATGAAAATTTTTAAAAATTATACATTTTGCTTAAACCCATTCATTTCACCTTAACTTTATTGCAAGTTTATGATCATGGCCACTTGGAAATAGGTTTCATCTTTGGTAAAACTATATATTTGTTTGTAATAATTACATTAGTCAATGGTATTTAAAGACTGTGAGATGTAATTTGAAAAGATAAGATTATAGGGGCCAGCGCTGTGGCATAGAGGCTTAATGTGCTTCCTACTGCTCTAATATCCCATATGGATACTGGTTTGAGTCCTGGCTGCTCCACTTCTGATCCAGCTCCCTGAGAATATACCTGGGAAAGCAGTATAAGATGCCCCAAATGCTTGGGCTCCTGAACCCCCAAAAGAGACCCGGAGGAAGCTCCTGGTTCCTGGCTTTGGTCTGGCCCAGCTATGGCTGTTGCAGCCATTTTGGGGAGTGTAACAACAGAAGAAGACCGCTGTCTGTCCCTGTTTCACCCTCTCTCTCTCTGGAACTGCCTTTCAAATTAAATAAATAAATATTTTTTTGAAGGACAATGAGAAGGAGTCATTTATGAGAAAGCAGATTTAAAAAAAAGAAGAAAAGATTATAGAAACCGATTGTAATTGCAGTATTCCACAACAGTGAGGTATTTTAGAAATACATATTCTTATTTTTCTTTTTATAAATTAAAGGCTAGTGCTGAGATTTTCACATGTTTAATGTCAGAGTTGGCCTTTGGGGAAGAAAGTCAAAGGTTTGTAGAAACAAGATTATTTATTAACAGTGTTCTTGATCTTGATTTTGAAAATTCTGCAAAATTCCACTGAGAAACTGACTTCTATGAATGATCATTACAGGGTACATCCAAATGAAATATTGCAATTTTTTCTGTAAATGAATACATAATGACAAAAGGATTCTGAACTTTTGTAAGTAGTTCTTAAAATACATTTTTTTTGCAAACATTAATTCTCTTTTTCTTCTACCTTAGGAAGTTTACAGATCAGGTACAAGTTAAATAGATATCAAGAACCTGATGTCATTCATTTTGACTTTAAAAGCATGGCTGATGGGCAACTCCACCACATACAGATTGACAGAGAAGAAGGAGTGGTCTTCGTCGAGGTAAGGCAGTAGCATCAGCAGGAGTAGTGCTGCAGTGAGCGCTCCCCACCATGAAGGATCTGCAGTGCAGAGTTGGTGATGGACAGAACAGACAAAGAGCGTGCAGTGCTTCACCGCAGTGTGTGGTCGACTATTAAAGGCAGTCAGGTTTTTTTCAGCAGTAAGATTCTGTCCAAAATCTTATTAATACCTGACTTGATGTGCTACACTTGCCTCCCTTGTTTTCGTCTTCCTGATAGGGAAATGTCTGGTTTATCAGTGTGTTACTGGTAGGATTGTCACTGCTCCAGCAAAACCAGTTTACTTCAGACGGGTATAACTGTGGCAATGATTCTAGCCCAGAAGATGGTGATTGCAATATCAGAACCAATTTTTGAAAATGATTTGAGTCACTGCAGAGAAATTCAAATTATTCACTCTAGCAGCTTTTGATAAAAAAGTACTAATGTTGCAACACTCTACGGAAACCATTTCTTAGCTGTGGGATTCAAGTAAGGATACTGAACTACGTAAAAGTACTGACATGAAAAATAACCCATGGTATCTTTTCATTGGCTTTACCAATTTTGTATTCCTTGTACAGCAAAGGAAAATAAATCAATATAAGCAGTTAGAAGATGGGTGCCTAAGATGTGGTATAGAAATGGTATATAAAATAATATTCACCTTTCTAAATGGCTCAACCATTGGGATCTTACTTTATTACTTATTTTATCATTTTCTTTTATTCCCATGGCTTTGCGTCCCTTTCTCAACAAAACGACATCCATTTGGATGCTGGTGTCTCATGATGATTGTAGATTGATGAGGATACAAGGAGACAAGTGTACCTGTCATCAGGCACAGAATTCAGTGCAGTCAAGTCTCTGGTACTGGGCAGGATTTTAGGTAAGTAAGAGAGAGACCCTGTCCCCCAATCATGAGACAGAAATATGAATGTGAAGTCATATTCCGTACCTGTTTGTGTGTTTGTGTATGTGCACACACCCACACATATTTCATTATGCCAAAAGAAATGCCTTGCCTTATTTTCATGGTGAAGTGAGTGACAATCGAGACAGAAGCCTATGTAATGACTTTGTGGAGAATGAACAAACATCCTCCTTTGATAGTAAATTCACTCTGATCTTTGTTTCTCTGTGTGTCAGTATAGCATAATGCAACATGGTACTCTTCTTGCACTTCAAGTATGTCAAATCATAAGCACAGCAGTAATAATGTATCTAATAAACAAATCTTCATCTAATCTAAAAGCAAGATTTGGTCTGAAAAAAATGAAAACAATTGTTTTTCTTCTATGCCCAATTTAATGAGCTTTAGATAATGGCTTGGATCCTGTTGCCTAGCTGTGATGTAGTCGCCAGCTACTCTTGCTTAAACTCAATCTAAATGTCTTCTAATTATTATTTATTTCCATCAATTACTTATAATAACAGCACTGTGACAGAAGCATATTATTGCCATCTGATCATCAAGATATGTGTGCACTAAAAATACTTTCCAACAAGGTCTAAATCGAAAATGAGAGTACATTTAAAAAGATATATCTTTGGTGCGGGGTTGGTGGGGGGGCAGCTTCTTGTAGTTTGATTTTCATTCCTAGTCTCGTATTTGGTGCTGTCCTGGAATTTTTTGTTCAAGGTAGTGGGTGGAATATTTTATTTTTGACCTTTTCCATTATGTGTACCTCAATTAATCATTCCTATGTTCCCTGTGCATAGTCTCAGAATCTTAAGAATTTTTTTATTAAACTTATGGATGAATGATGAAATAGTGTCCCTTGAGAAGGTTAATAGTTAAATTTATAAATATTTATAGACTTTTAAGTACTGTGATGAGCACCACAATTGTGTGTTCTTCTTCTCCAAAGAAGCAGGAAAATTTGATGAGTTGCAATGTTCTTCCATGATACTACAGTGGACATAAAGAAATTTGTTAAGTACTCCTTAGACATTTGGAAGGTAACTGAAAAAAATCCCAAGCAATTTTCACAGTGTTAATTGGATAAATCCAACTATTTATGATTGACATTTGTATCATTCGCTGTAAGGAGGCATACACAGTCAATAACTTATTAGGCATGAGGTGGTGATTCTACTGTATTTAAATATAGCTTTAAAGTTGAAATCCATGCCCCTAATGTCTAATTAACAGATAAGACTATAATTCTTAGTGTTAATGTTAGGCTAAATTTTAAATGTATATTAAGAAGGACTGAGTCCTATGTTAATAACTAAAGAGAAAATACTTGCATATTTCATATTCAGTATTGGGAAATATTTATGGCTGTTTCAGGCCACTGTAGGGGTAATGTTGGCACAGCATAGGATTCCAAAGAGAATTGAAAACATCTAAGCCAGGAAACAAGCAGCAGTGGAGCAGATCCCCAGCTGTGTTAACCGTGGGCCCTAGCCGCTTCCCTGTGGTGTCAGATGCGGGAGAGGTCAGAGCGCAGGTTTCTGGGGAAGAGAAGAGAGCCAGACTGAGGCAGAGCAGAGGAAGCAGAAGGTGGCTCCCCATCCTCTGCAGAGTGGATGATCTGCTTGGAAACCTCTGTTCTGAACTCCGGGGGCAGGGGAGACTCCGTCGTCTTCTGCCCTCCACCAAGCCTGCCTTTGCACCTAACCTTTGCTGTTAGTCACCGAAGCAGAAGTAAACGCAAAGAAGATGAGCAGAGGAGTTCCCGTCTCCAAACTCAGGAAACATAGATGCTATCAATGAGTGGAGCCCATGAGCTGACACTGCATTCACAAGTATCAGTAAGACGTGATTGTATTAATTAAGTAGGCTGTCTGCGCAACTTGTAACTATTATGTCACAAACCGTGGCTGGTAGTAGTTAAAAAAAAAAAATTAAAAAAAAATTGATCCCAGGAGCTTCTTTTCTGTCAGGTCTGAGACGATGCATGCACTTAAGAATGTATAAGACAAGGTAGAACATTCCGAGAATTTTGGATAATATTAGTAAACTCATTTTTTATATTAAACTTTAATGTCAGAGTTATTCATGAAAATATTTTCATGATTAGGAATGTTAAATATATTATAAAATGTTGGAAAACCAACTTGAATCCTGCAAAGAGGATTGTATTAATCAAGCAGAATAGCATTCAATGTGTATGTAGCTTTTTCCTTTTTGTAAATGAATATACAAGATTAGTGTGAATTAAATATGTTAATGTTTTTATCTGAGTAGCATATTATTCAACTGTGCTGAAAAATAAGATTGAAGTTCAAACTGAGGAATGAACCTTATAGTCTGGATCACTGAAAAGCATCAGTGTTAATTTATTGGGCATGTGCCTTAGGTATAGATCTTGATAGAGGACTAATCATTTGTAATTAGAAGGAGACTCATAACTTAGTGTCAAATTTTATGTTTTATATGAATTTATTATAAATTTTTATATAGTATATTGTTATATCTTAATATAATTTATTAATTTATAGTAAAACAAATGAACAAGATGGTTAGAAAGCTGAGCTATTAATTTTCCATGGAGAATTGCTCTGTCTTGAAGTTGCTTATTAGATTAGCCTGGAACCTCCATGAAGCAGCTGCCAAAACAGAATTAAAAATTTACAGGGTTTTTTTTATTATTTGTGTAAGAAAAGAGAGGGAGCTGGCTGAGGTTGCCCAAGTCCTCGCATGGCCGGGCCTCACTGTCTACCAGAGAAGGGAACAGAGAGGGAAAGTCAGGTAGCAGTGTTCTGGACTCTGTGCAGTCTAAGATTTAGCCAAGGCTTCAGAGAGCCATTAGTTAAAAAACCAGCTTTCATGGGCCGGCGCTGTGGCTCACTTGGTTAATCCTCTGCCTGTGGTGCCTGCATCCCATATGGGCGCCAGGTTCTAGTCCCAGTTGCTCCTCTTCCAGTCCAGCTTTCTGCTGTGGCCTGGGAGGGCAGTGGAGGATGGCCCAAGTGCTTGGGCCCCTGCACCCACATGGGAGACCAGGGAAGAAGCACCTAGCTCTTGGCTTTGGATTGCGTACCTCCGGCCGTAGCGGCCATTTGAGGAGTGAACCAACAGAAGGAAGACCTTTCTCTCTGTCTCTCTCTCTTTCTCTCTCTGTCTATAACTCTACCTGACAAACAATAACAACAACAACAACAACAACTACAACAAAAAAACAGCTTTCAGAGGAGTCCTGTGTTTCCCAACAAAGAGAAATCCTGGAATTCCTGCTGATTCCTGGTGTGATTTGCTTCTGGCTGGGGGCAGGCCTGGGAGGGGCAGCTCTGGCCCAGTGCAAGGATAAATTTCAGAGGTTGGCAGTTGGGACCTTTAGTTAGTAAGTCCCCGTCTGGTTGGAGGCTTTGTGTGTGTGTGTGTGTGTGTGTGTGTTTGCAGATTTATTTATTTATTTACTTGAAAGGCACAGTTACCAAGAGAGGGAGGGAGAGATGGAGGGAGAGATATCTTCCATCCACTGGTTCACTCCTCAAATGGCTGCAACAACCAGAGCTGAGCTGTTCTAAAGCCAGCAGCCAGAAGCTTCTTCTGGTTCTCCCACATGGGTGCAAGGTTCCAAGCACTTGGGCCATCCTCTGCTGCTTTCCCAGGTGCATTAGCAGGGAGCTGGATGGAAAATGGAGCAGCCCAGACTCAACTGGAGCCCATTTAAGATGCAGGCACTGCTGATGCGAACTTTACCCACTGCGCCACAGTGCCGGCCCCTGGTTGGAGATTTTTAAGGCACATTCTCATGGCCCCACACTGGTTAAATACACACACATACACATACACATAGATTTATGCTCAGTGGACTTGTGGAGCATTTATCAATTTAACACAGTCATTGTGATCACTTACGGTGTACCCTGAGTGCTGCTTAATAAGGGAGACACTTTCTATCTATCTTGATAGAGCTCAGGGTCCTGGACATTCAGAAAATTATTAAAACAACATGTTTGTCTGTATCAGGCATAATGTCTGAGATAAAATAGTTTAGAATCACCTTCTGTGTTCAAATACTTCTATTACATTATATTTATGGCTATTGCATTTGAAGGAAAAGAATGCAAGCATTGACCTTTGTTTTTTTGGTTGTGATTTGCCTACATTTTCAACCAAAGACTTAAAGATATGAGCATCTACTACTTCTACAGATGGGAACCTTGAAATAAAGGAAATGCATTTTCTCCCTTTGACTTTCTCTAGTGCTCACTTCCTAAATGTAAGAACAGTGGGGACAGTTTTGGATTACTGGCACTGTTGACAGACATTACTAGCAGAAATTTGAGCAAAGAGCATGAATTTTAAAGTCCCGGTCGGGGCGCCAGATTCTGTGCCAGTTGCCCCTCTTCCAGGCCAGCTCTCTCCTGTGGCCAGGGAGTGCAGTGGAGGATGGCCCAAGTGCTTGGGCCCTGCACCGCATGGGAGACAAGGATAAGTACCTGGCTCCTGCCATCGGATCAGCGCGGTGCGCCGGCCGCAGCGTGCCAGCCGCGGTGGCCATTGGAGGGTAGACCAACGGCAAAGGAAGACCTTTTTCTCTGTCTCTCTCTCTCACTGTCCACTCTGCCTGTCCAAAAAAAAAAAAAAAAAGCAAAAACAAAAACTTTAATTAAATTGTACTATGATGACAGGCTAACCATTTCTGATTTCCCGTTTCACTTGCAATATCAAATGGCTCAATCACTTAGCAATAATAGAATATTGATAGTACAGACCTGTGGTGGGAGGATCAAGGTTTTGCCAAGCAGCTCAGTTCATATCCTGCCAAATCAATAAGCTAAATTACCTTTGATTTTTACATTCATAAGTCACTGTAAAATTAAGTTCTGTGTCTGGATGCTGTAATATGGCAGAATGTTTTGTTACTTATTAAAGTAAAAGCTGGCAGTTCTTTCACTCACCCTCAGCAGTGGCTTTGTACAATGGGTGTG